ATTCTGAAGAGCGTAATGAGCACATCTCCTCTCCCCAAGAATCTCAGAGGAGTCAGAGCCTTAGGGAATCTCCTTCTAGAGTCTCCCATTCCAACATCCCAAATCCATCGTCTCCTAACCCTCACCAGGCCAAGCCTTCATCCAATACCTTTCAAGAACTCTTTGATCGAATGTCAAAGAAAATTGATAACATTGCAGAAGAACAAAGAAAGAGGTTTGAAGTGCTTGAAAAAAAAGTTGATGCTTTGTCAACTTTAATAAATCAAAAGATTGTGAATAAGGTATGATGAAAGCTTTTGAAAGTCATCCAATAATTTTAATTGATCAGAACTGATCTATTCTTATGTAAAAATATGAATGTGAATGTAACTGTATCAGGAGAAGAACCAACCAAGAATCCGCAGGAGGTACGTCGAATACCGTCGAATACCTCGAATGTAGTTGAAACATTTTGTTCAGTTTTACATTTGTAAGATCTGTTAACGTTCAGGTGCCAGAGACGACAATCATGGGTGATTGTGAGGAGACTGAGGCACGAAATCCTTCCCCTGACCATAAGGTTTGGGGTTTAATAGAGTTATTTCATTTGTTTGCATATGTTAAATGAAATAATAATATCATTTCATTCTTCTTTCTCATCATTTTCATACTTCATACTCTATATGTTTCTCCAAGACTTGGTATTCTCCAAATTGTTGGGGAAATTACAAGAGCACGAGAATCAACCTTCAACACTTTCTGATTCTGTTCTTAGTTTGGAGAACAGAAAGGTAAAGTTCTAATCTAAACTTACAATGCATTGTCCTTTCGAAAATAGATTCATATTTTTTGTTCTTGTCTGCAGGCTGAGTCTACCCACGAGACAATGGGAACAGAAGATGCTACCTCAATGAAGCCTCTGCAGGAAATGGTAAAATAATAAATCTTACTACAAGTGCCTTCGAAGTATAGTCATAGTGTTCAAATGTATTCGAATTTTTTGCAGGTTGAGTCTTGCCATGAGGTAATGGAAACAGACGCTGCTGATGCTTCTATGAAACCTCTGCAGGCTGAGTCTACCCACGAGACAATGGGAATAGAAGATGCTGCCTCAATGAAGCCTCTGCAGGAAATGGTAAAATTAAAAATCTTCCTACAAGTGCCTTCGAAATACAGTCGAAATTTTCAAATGTATTTGAATTCTCTGTAGGTTGAGCCTAGTCATGAGGTCATGGAAACAGACACTGCTGCTTCTATGAAAACTCAGCAGGACAAGATAAATTCTGGATTCTTTGCATTCGAAATGCAGTCTTGTTCTTCGAAGTATTTAGATCATGTTTATTTACACTCTATTTAACTGTAGGTTGTTTCTCCCCCGAAGGAATTGGGAGAAGAGGCTGAAATTACTGATGGCATTGTGTATGGAAAGGTTTGGTTTCTTACTTCAAGTGCTTTCGTATTGTGGTCTAAGATTCCGAAATAATTCACTTATTTTTTTATTTTAGAGAGTGAAAAAGAAGTCAGCCAGTTTG